AGTTAATCACCAATAGCACAGGCTAAGGTTGGCCAATGCTCTCATTAACGACTCGTTTCTTGTAAAACACCTGAATCTGCACCTTAGTTAGCAATCAACAGATTTGAAAATATGTTTACTTTAGTAATAGCTATCCCCAAATCACATTGCAGTTGTTAGCCATAGAGTCACGACACCACAACTACTCAAAAATGGTGAAAACGGAACAATCGAACTGGCCATATCTGCCTTCCCCCCGCTACACTATGAATGGCGCAAAGACGGGAAGCTCCTAAAATTACCTACAGAAAGAATAATGATTGACCCGCACAGTGGCACACTTCATATTTTTGGCGTGGAAGGAGGAGACCAGGGAAACTACACGTGTAGAGTTGTATGGAAATCGAACAGACCACATGAGGAAACGGAAGACACCGTTACAGTAGAGATTGTTGTTATGGGTGAGTTTTAAGTAAAAATTAATTGGGGAATGTAACTCCCTTGTGACAGCAATTTGGTTAAGCAGGGAAGCTTCAAATACCAACGGTACATATATAGCACGTCAAATGTTTCAACTTTAGGCCTTTCATTAAGTTAATTAGTAGAGTGAAATGTTTGCCATCATAAGTAGTTCTAAAACTGACGTATATGTCAATTTTACTTTGCAAAGTGGAGAATACAACTGAGGCTAGATGATTCGAGCTGCGGCAGGAAACATCAATACGTTTGTGTAGACGCTAAGTGTTGCCACCTCGGGTAATTACTAGAGTGTCTTTATATACTGTTTCTTTTTTAAGAAACCACGAAACACACTGCTTTGCAGAATTTTTTTATGTACCCACGAGAAAAGGCTTGAAGAACAAAAAAACTCTTGGGATTATTGACAAATAACTGACAAAGGGCATCTTGTATTGCATGATTTTAAGTGGACTTTGCGATAAATAAAGTTGTTTGTGTTGTTATGAACTACCACTCGTCAACTGTATAGAAAAACCCTCGTCTTTATCCTGAATAAATGTTTGTCAGCACACTCTTCTTTCCAATGAATGTGTGTAATTGAACATTTCTCTTGGTTAAAAGCGGATCGCAGTCAATGTGCTCTTCCAACTCAGCATTAATAAATACATAATACGCAAGTAATGTATGAGAAGAATCTATATTCATGCTGGTATACAGTTGCATCCAGTGTCACTAGGTGCAATGCCGCCATACCTTAAATACTGCCACCAAAAAGCAAGGAAGACATAAGGGTAATGAATAAACGATATTCAACTATCTATCGCAGAATTAGTTACCAGAAAACTCTAGTTCCATCACTAACGTTTTCAATTAAATCAGCTTGGACCTTCTGTTTATATCTAAGACTGCGTCGCGCAGCTTCCAGTTCAGTGAATTCGTCCAAAAACCCTTGCCTACGATGGATTAGTTGAATGGAATGTTTTTCCTTTAGAAAACTAGGGAAGATTTAATTTGGTCAAAAAATAGATGCCACATTTATTTTGTCGAAGAGCAAGCCAGTCTACCAGTGGGGCATGGTACAATCAACAGTAACTGAGCAAAAATAAAAGTGGACCTTCTTCTTAACAACATCTTGTTCAAACTGTCACCTGATTAAACATCTCAACACTACAAGCGACTATTATCGTGTTAATTTAGAATGCATTAACGTATCGCACTTGCAGTTTGGATGCCTTCGTTGTGCTCAGTTGTGCTCTTCCCAAGCTTATGCAGAGTCTGTGAAGATTGCAACTTGAATTCCGTAAGGCGCTAGCCAACATTTTGACTCCCACATCCGTTATCGGGTTGTTGGTCAGGGACAGAACTTTGAGGGTGAGCTGATGATTGGGCAGGGCTTGAAGCAAACTTTTAACTCCTTTGTCAGTAACTTGATTGTACCCGAGGTACAGTTCCTGCAGCGCGCATGACTTGTGAGCCAGCGCCCTTTCCACGAACCTGATACCATCGTCAGTGATCTCGTTGGAACTGGCATAAAGTATCCTGAGGTTACAATCCCCACTACAAAGGGACTGGCAAAGGTCTTGAAGGCCGAAGTCCAGCATTCTGTTCTTTTGAAGGAAGAGTCTCCTAACACTGCAAATAGGACTACTAAGAGCTTGGCTCAGATGAAAAACTCCATTGTGAGTTATTCCGTTGGAACTTAAGTCTAAAGTTTGAATTTTGCTGTTTCCGCTACACAGAGCTTCGCTGAGATGCTCGACACCCGCATCACCTATGTTGTTGTTGCCAAGATGAAGTTCCTCAATTTGGCACCAATCATTGAAGAGCACGCACGCTAGATACTTTGCTCCTTCGCTGGAAATCTCATTTCCTCGCAACCCCAGAACCTTTATTCCGATAAATGAATGTCCTACGGTTATTTCCAAGAAGGACAACATTCCGTCATCGGTGACACATGAATTTGTCAAATTCACTTGGTTCAACTTGCAAGACCGGTTAGAAATGAATGACGCTACCTGACGTAGCCCACTGTCCCCCATTGCATTGCTCTCGAAGATAACTCTTTTTACGTTGTCACCCATAGGTCCCTTCAAGCAATCAATAATTGCTTGGGTCTTCTGGGGGTTTGCACCTATCTCAGTAAAGGCAATGGGTTTGGCCTTTGGCATCAAAGACGTAACTTCCCTTGCAAATGGATGCCCCAGTTGAGTACCATTCTCAAAAAGGCATTTGCAGAGAAAAACAATCGCTTGATTATCAATGACTGGTTCATCATTTAATCTGTTCAGCTTGATAGCCTCTATCAAGTACTGCATCAGGCACACAAATACACCCTTGCTCTGCTTTCCATCATTGCACAAGCCAGCGACAAGCAGAAGAGTGCTCCAATGGGTCTCATTGGCCATTTCCAGGAAATCTCGGAAGTCTGCAATAGACATCGATTTGATCATTCTGCAGGCCGCAAGGTACTCTTGAATGCTGAGACAACTGAAAAAGTAGTTTTCAGGTTGCTCTGGAAAAATGCCTCTTAAACGGAGGAGAAAGCCAGCATCTTTGAGAATCCCAACTTCAAAAGCGCTCAGTTGAACTCGTGAGAGATCCTCCTCGCGAAAAACATAGCGTTGATCTATTATTCCCTGATACGCCAAAAAGGAGAGTTTTTCTAGGGCGTCTTGAAAATTCTTTGAAAAATGAAAATTATTTGTTGAGGGTGTTCTACAGTTAATTTCAAGTGATTGTTCTCTTGTCGCGGTTTCGATAACTTTCTGAAGGAGTCGCGAAGTTGTGGAAGGAATTTCAGTGGCTTGAGAAACCTGAGTCAGTCTCTTTGACGCCATAAAGTCGAGGTACAAACAAAGAAGAACACAGTTTTGAGGAACACGGTAGAAAACCTCGAGATTTTCATCCATAGAAATGCGGTTTGTCAACTGCATTAAACTGAGATCTTTTCTGTTCTGGAAAAATTGTTGAACGTAAGTCTTGACCATGTCAAACTGAAAAGAACCCATCTCTGCGTATCTATCAAACGTAAAGATCTCATCAATTTCTGAAAGTAAGGGAGCAGATCGTGACGTCACCACCATGGTACAACCTGGTAAAAGTTCTCCAGAAAGAAGTCCAAACACAACAGAATCCACGGACATGTTCTCTTCAATTTCTCCATCAGGAGGGTAAATTGACTTCGTTGTCTTTACTGTCCACTCGTTTAAACCATCGAAAATAAGAAGTACTTGCCCTGGATTTGCGGCGATCTGTCGATAGACTATGTCTTTCAGTTTCGGCGAAACGGAGGAGAAAGAAAGAAATTCTTGCAAAGATGTTTTATTATGTATTACACCCAGCTCTTTGAAATCGAAAGAGAAGACAAAGTTTAGATGGCCCATTTCGCTTTCATCTGAAGATAATTTCGAATTGAATTCTTGAACAAGAGTGCGTGCGAGTGTCGTTTTTCCAATACCGGGGTCCCCAGTCACTAAAATTCTCTTTGGATTCGGCGAGTCTCTACTTGGCTTGAATAAGTCCCCTAAACAGGCAACCGGAAGCTTTTTAGTGCTGCTGTAGGTCCTGAAGAGTTCCTGCTTATGTCTCTGTTTCTTAACTCCCTTATATTTCAGTTTTTGCTGAGAGATGAAAATATTATTGATAGGGAGACAAGGCGCGCTTGGACAGCTACAGCAATTACCCAGCGGAAGTCGAAGTTCATGTTTTATAGCCTCAAGTATTGTTTTCCTTTGTTTGTCTATAAAAAGCTCCTTCTCTATTATCATATTAGTGCTTTCTGTCACGCAATTATGCCTCAATAAAAGCATGCAAAAATAATAATCGGAAATGTTCTCGAAGGCCTTCGTTTCTTGCCACGCATACACGATTTCTGCCAAGCTAAGAACTCCAGCGAACGTTACAAAGGTCAGCAAAGCAGTATTAAACATTGATGATTTGAACGCTTGATCGGCATAACAATGAATTGTAGTCACGACCGAGCTGCTACTGAATACAAAAGGTAGTGTAGGCGTCCGTTGTTTGCTATACTCCCTCTCTGATGGTATAATGACCGAGGACATTAGAAAGCTGTATGTAATAAACACTAAGGCTGACACAAGTTTCACACAGAGTTGAATTGAATATGCCTTGAACACTGCCATGGAACCCTTCAACTCGACCACTATTTTGCCACGCTGTTTTGAGGTATTGAGCTGTAACCACAAACTAAATCGTTCGGACACAAATGACGTGTAAATCCAACCGATTAAAAGATTCAGTAAGGCGAAGAACAGAAACCCCTCCTGAGACACTGGGGTGTATTTTTGTCTGTACTCCTCAAAGTGTCTAGATGTTAGATCTTCTCGTGCGCTTGTCTCGGCAACTCCATCCTTAAATGTACAACGAAATTCTGAACCCAAGTTATTATCTTGCTTGCTAAATTGCCACTGAACAGCTTGTGCTATAGACATAACACCAAGTGCTCCGGTCAAAATACCGCGCTGGAACCTTCCCATTCGAGTTAGGCTCGGTGACTCGAAAGCTTGTGGTATCGGTATCCTCAACTCATCGAAAATATCCATGTTGTTCTTCGGTTCCGTCGCGTTTCTCTTCCCTCGTCGTTGTCAGTTCCGGTTTAATCGCACGTTTGATATTAGATGCATGTCAAGCTGTTATGTTCATTTTCTGTTGGTCATATTCCACATACGAGGTCGAGATGGAATATCTTCCGACAGGTGAAAACAGCTTTTGAATGGATTTTGTCACGCCACCTGCGACAGTTAGACAAATATGCCATCACTGCTAGTGGACTAATGCGGAAATGCCTATAAAAAGTAATTTGCATGGAATGTTTATGAAAAGTTCACAAAATTATTTTATATAGACATGATGATTGGCTAAGAGCCATGTTATGTAGACGAAACAGAAAAATTCTTCATGAAAAGAGTTGTATTTTTATAAAGTACTTTTAAAGAGAAAAGTCTGGAACAATCTTGCTCATTAGCACTGGGAGAATTAATGAGCAATAATTTGATTAAGCCTGAGGCCTAAAATACCTCGTGCCTTTTGGGCTGCGCTAAACAGACTCAGTCACGTAATATACAAACCCTAAGAGTCATTTAAAACAACAGTAAGAAAATAAAGTTTCGATCTGTTATCGAGAAGCACTTTCGATTACATGAATTCAAAGCAAAAACTCGGGGTAAACTACGTTTTTTTGGACGAATGAAGCCCGAGAAACAGGCGGATTTTTGACCTTTTTCCCCCACCCCCCCCCCTCTCTTTTTCCCGCCCCCTTTTTTGCGCGGTCTTTGTCCCGCGTTCCTCGTTCTTTGCCCCAAAACCCCCCGGGAATGCTTGCTACGCAGGTGAGATCCGGCGATATAGCTTTTGTGAAGCCCCCCCCCCCTCCCCCCCCCCTCATAGACTAGCCTGATAGGAAATTATTCTCTTTTTAGTTCTTGTCAGTTTTTTTTTATTTTCCAAAAATAAGCTAGGAGATGAAATATTATGGAACGTAAAAATTCTCAGAGAGGTTGTTTAATTCTTCATTACTACTCGCAAGCAAAAAGCTTTATCCATATGGCTTTTTGCAGGGCTCGCAGAACAGGGGTGATAAAGGGGGTAATTTTTCAGTGTAGCCTATAAAAAGGCTCTCGTTTGGCGCAAGGGGGCTAAAAAATCGCGAGGAGACGGCGAAGGAAAATGAAAACAGGGATATAGCTAGTGGAGGGAGGGGCCGGGAGAGCCTCCTCCCCTCTTCCCAGTTCACCCACGATGAAGGTTTGTTCACAGGCTGGGTAACTATTAGCTCGGGCAAGTATTTTGATGACTCCACTGGGTGTCCTTTGCTGAAATAAAGCAAGTTTCATGAAGCTTTTTTTTTAAAAAGAATGATGGGCTTTTTAACACTGAGAATAACCCAGAGTCGAAAAATGTTTAGGAGAGGATTTAATCATGAAAGTCTTACCCGTAGAACCGTCGTCACTTCTAAGTTCAATATTAAAAAAAAAAAAGAAAGAAAGAAAAAACCCAGCATGCTTTACTAATTGCGATGAGATAAGGAGTACGGAAAGAAAAACCTGAAATATTTAATAAGAATTTTCTATTGTTTCTATGCATATAGATATTTTTTCTTTTGCTATTTTCATCTTTCTATATTGAACTTGAAAACGATCGTTGGACTGTCGAAACGTTCACTTTTAATGCCATTCATAGTGTTCACATTATCATTCACTTGTCGACCCAAAAGATATACGCCGTTTACAAGTGTGGACAAGCCGTAGGCAAAGCTTAGATCACGTGTCTTCTGTTTGGTCGCCATGGTGTTATGATAATATGGCGGTCGCGAAAACACTTTGAATGCAATGCAACGACCAGGGTTAATTTCCAAGTGAACGAATCGCTTTACTACCAATCGAGATGAAGCGAGGGAGAAGTCAAACGTGATGTCGCAGTTTTCGAAGGAGGAAAAGATCTTGATGGGACAAATATGGACGATTTTTGTCGTGGTCATCGGTATTTTAGCGCAACAATCAAATGCTGAAAGCACCAGTTCCATTTCAACTTCAGGCTTCGCTTCAAGCGTGTTGCCAAGCATATCTACCGATAATTTATCCTCGATTGCGATTGTCACGACAAGCACAAATGTTGTAATAAATACGGACACCTCTTCAACTTTCGGTAAGTTTGATTTAAAAATCTTTTAAACTAACTTAAGCTCATAGCCTGGACGGAACGGTAGTGTTCATTCGAGAGAACATCCATAACCGATTTATTTTCTTATGTACTATTTATATTGCTGATTCATTTAACGCTAATTACTCTAGTACTTCATTTAGAAACGTTCATGTAAAATAATGTTTGCCAACAAACTTTGTTTTACGTGACATTTTCCTTCGAAATTGTATAAATGTGTTCTAAGTTACTGAGAAAGACGTCCTCGAAAAGCTTATTTGAAACAGCTAGTTGCTAGAAAGCGTCCTAGTGGTTAGACATCCAATGTATCTTCGACTGAGATTGTCATTGAAACATTTAACATTGTCGACGGCTGGGGTATTTTGCAGAACGCTGAATGCAGAATGTAGAACGTTAAATGACTCTGAAGTTTAGTGATTTAAGGGTTGGCTAGGAAACTGAGTGAATCAGGTTCCATTTAGAATCATCAGCAGGAAAATTGTCCTGAAACTTGATTCACTCAGTTTCCTTACCCTAATCACTAAACTTCAGTGTCATTTGGGGTGCTGCATTCTGCATTCGGCTTTCTGCGTTCTGCAAAATATCCCTGCCGCATTGGAGACGTTTTGAGTGCTTATAATCGCACTTGGCACATAGTGATTTAAGCTTGCTGTTGTGGTCTCTGCATTTAATATAATACTGCGATCATGCATGGTATAAGCTTAAGTTTCTTTATCTCAAGAATAATTGTCTTAACAGCTTAAATTTTAACTTTATTTGCTTAACTTAAATTATGTTTACTCTTTAGATCAGTTTTACGTCTAGTCACTTTTTTGTAATGATTCTTGAAAGCAGTTACCAGATTACAATTGTGATATTTAAATCTAACAGGAAAAAAATGTGCCAAAGATGTATTTGAAAATATTTCAATCTTAACTTCTTTATTTACTTATTTATGTTATACATAATTATATATTTAATACAAAATGAAGGAGATGAGTCTTTTGGAGGAAGAAGAAGACTCGATGATCGGGAGTGATCAACAGCATTTTCTGTGTTTTCTGTTTTTTTTTTCATTGAAAAGTGTTCTTGATTGTTACCCCGGGAGGCTAACATATTGAATTTGCAAGACAGTGCAGCAACATCAGCAACATTCTTATAAATGATGTCTACATTCTCAACAGTCCCTTAAAATAGATGGTTAAGTGAACTTCATTTCTGGTTTACTCCCTAATCGTGTGATAAACTTTTGATCTCGCCGAATAAATTATAAACTTCATTTCTCTTGATTGTGTTTCAAACAATCCAAGAACTTTCTTTTGTTAATTTTCATGTGAGCACTTTTTGTTTGAAGTTTCTATTTTGAGTAAGACTTATGATGAAATAATCAAGTCACAGATTTTATCTTGAGTCAGGCGTCAAACCTACGAAAAATGGAAAGTTTTGATTTTAATGTACTGTAAATTCATTGTAGGAAATTAACATATATATTAGTTAAAACTATTACAAGTATGTATCTGTCAAATTAAAGCTTCAGCACTCCAGGACATACCCTAGGAATATGACACTTTGTTGTCCTTGGGAGTATTATGGGGTTTTGGAACTTGATCCCCATGTATATGGATGGGAAATTGAATTGTAGACTTGATTTCATTTCTTTTGACTTGGACTGGAGGCTTTCAAAGGGAATTTTTGTAAATTTGTGGCTGATTGGCTGCAAAGCATAAAAATATATGAATGTATAAAAATACAGGTGATTTCCTTATAAAATTATTTTCTATAGATAATCAATTTCTTTGATGGGCTGTAATGTGATATTTTTGGTATTATTTAAAATTCAGCCACTTTACACAAGAGTTTTGTTTGTTTGTGTATCAAATAAATCCATGGTGTTTTCTGAGATGCAAAACATTTTACTGTCAAAGTTGTTGTTGTTCGACAAATGAAAAGGCAGTTTTGACATCTTTCTTTCGTATATTTGCATGTGAAACATGAGATACTGTGCAAAAAATGGAAGCACTCTCTTGTTCTCATTTGAAACCTGCCTGCAGACTTGGGATCATGAGCATTAGAGGGCTACGGAGTTAAAAGAGTCAATTTTCGTGGTAGGGCATTTGACCTAAAATGGACCTATTATTGATCATGGAACATTTGAATGGCTTTCTGGGTAGGCAAGGCTTGCATTTTGAATACTTATTTAATTTGAAAAAAATTCAGATGCCTATGGGTTGCCCGGGAGGGGATGTTGAAGCTTCAATTTGACTGGTACTTTGTACTAAGCATAAACATCTCCCACTTTTAAGAGCCTTTTGTGTGATTTTTGTGAATTAGTTGTTTACTGCAACTATAAAATATTTTGGACAATATGGACCAACCTTAGGTTATTCTTTATCCCTTAATTGTGAAACTCATAAAAAGGTGAGCTTTAGAAATATTCCAGGAATATTATTGTGTCCATGGAAAAAGCTGATAAGGCATGGGAAAACTATAAACCGCTAGCAGCTATGGTAGTTTCTGGTTGGACTGCTCATTATGTTAACTTTACTGATATTTGCTATGTGTGGTCATAACTTAGTAAACATTCCTGAAATATTCTAGGTGTTCATGGTTTTTCATAGTGTGATAGTATGCTAGCTTGCATTGCAGATGTAATCTAACCGTAGCTAGTAGCATCTGTTCTGGACCCCCGATGGACTGGAAGTGGGTTTCAAATTTCCATTCAACCTTGTTGGCAAATCAACAATGGCTTTTTTAACAGGCCAATCATGTTGTGTACTCAAATCTTGGAACACAGGTCAGGGCCCATAACAAGGATTTCGGCACTGGTTCGCAGACAGTCTTAACCAGGGTTTAAGTTCCATTCTGTGGTGCAGGCTAATAATTAGCTAGTAATTAACACAACTGG